TCCATTAGACAAAAGTGTAAAACCTTAAACTTTCGGAAGATATGTGAAGGTCTATCCCTGTTTCTTGGAAACATTGCATGAATTTCCAAAATTTGGTGTCTTAGATATCAAGGATTTAGTGGTTACCATCTGGAGAAATTGAAAAATCATATTATTTTTCCGTAGTTATCCTTTAAAAGCAGCTTCATCAGACAGGGTTTTGGCATAAGGGCTTTTGTAATAATGCTAAGTTAACCCTCCTTCTTTATCTGATTTACAAAGGTTTTAAAACTGCAGACATCACAGACCACCACCAATGTATAATTCAAACACAGTTAGATTTTGGTTTAATTACATCTGCTATACAGTATCTCCCCATAAATGTTGATCTTAACTAATAACTGTAAAACTTCCCCTGTAATAAATGATTACTGGTAGAGAAATGCATGCATTAGCAGCCTTGCATGGAACATGTGGCATAATGAGAAATGCCTGGGAAAATATGGGAATAGGAATATATGGGTTAGAAATACCTTTACTCAATAACATACCTGAATAGACAGGGAAATTCTTGGCTACCCATATACCACTGTGGCAACATCATAAAAAGTTGTAACTTTGCACTGGTTAATACTGTATGCATATACAGTACATACATGTTTAAATATGTGGTTGCAGTCACATTATGGAAAAAGCTTCTATAATGTTCCCTTCACAGTTTGGAATTTTGTCATATTAATTTTAATTACAGGTCAACATTCCTAAGAAAAGTCTTAGGAAACCATATTCATATTGTATTGGTTCTGGGGAGCAGTGGTGCACAATATGTTATAGGTAATCCTCACTGAGTCAAGACATTGAAACAGTGGTAATGTAGACCAATTTAGTGAACAATTTCTTAAAGTTATTAAGACTCCAGCATGGAATGAAAACCAGAGGACATGGCAGGCCTCCATGGGTGAATATCAGTACCCTAAGGGATATTATTCAAATCTGTTCCATGACTACCAATAAACTGCAGTTCCAAACAGACTCCCTGAAAGTAAAAATCTATATATAATTAAATAACTGAAAGTCAGAGGTTGCCAGGGAACTACTGATGGATAATGGGTTCTTGTCAAATTTTCTAGTTTTATGTGAGAACTATATCCAAGCCATGCAAAGGCAGTTCTTGTAGCACTTCACCATTCTTTATGAGCTTCTGTGCTGCACAGTACATGTCAGCACATGGAGCTTAAGAAGTAATAAATGCTCTATTTTCAGTGGCATTATGTCATAGAGAAAGAACATTTGAGTTGTTAAAAATGAAAGACCCTAGAAAACCATCATATCAGTGGGATGCTGGAGGTCAGCAGCTCAGAGATGCAAAGAAAAAAAAAACATATTTTAATTCTACTTATGTTTGCCTAGCAACTTCCAATTAATGTATTTTAAAGGTACATTTTTGAGACAAAAGTTCAGAAGAAAGCGTAGTGTTTTTTACCTTGTGTTTTCTCTTAAAGATTAATAGAAAAGTCCACATCACTCTAAGGAACATGTGTTTTCCGAGCACGTGGCACTCACTGCCTGTAAGAGATATAGTTATCATTAGCAACCTGCTCAGCTGTAATGTTCAGTAAAAGAGAACAGCATCTTGTACACTGTAGGCATCTAAGTTAAATTGGAAACTGAAAGGAAAAGGTCATTTCACGTGTTTTGACACTATTAAATATAATGACACCAAACACTGGACTGAACATAAATGTATTTCAGAAACTGGGTATTTAAAGAAGTCAGATTGCAATAAACACCTTTAAAATTGATTAATGAGTTGAATGTTATTAAATTGTAATATAGAAAGTATAGAATAGAAAACCACTATATGGTGCTTCAGTTCTGAGTCATGAATTATAACACTCTTAATTTATTTACTGTCTTTTTAATGCCACTAGGCTTTTGAATTATATAACAAATGTAATGACGGTCTCTTGATTTATATCCATGTACTGGATACATGACACATAGTTTATAGAACACAGATGGGCAACGGAAATATTAGATTTAGAAATGGCTTTATTCACAGCAGCCTCAATAGGATGAGACAAGAGAAAGACACATTTTGATTTTAAGAAACTAGATTACTGCATTCATTCTACAAAACCACATTTTAACTTCTTAACAAGTGATAAAGACGGCATTTAAAAGTCCGTGTTGTGAAATGTTGTGAACAGTCTTGTGAACTGGGCACAGGTTAACTTTCAAAATGAAAACTGAAAATCCAATTGTAGAGTTATGAGAATCTAGATGTGTAAAGGTAGTATGGGTGTCAGTATTTAATAAATGCAATGCTTGGAGCTGTTCTTCTGTTGAATTAACAAAAGCCCGACTTGTTGACCTTGTTTCTGCTTCCCTCACCACTTCAGTTTATTTATTTTTTTTTTCTGAGAGACAGTTTTCAGTCTAGTCTACTGTAACTGGTCTAGATCAGATGGAAATGGGAATGTTAATCCTCTGTGTCAAGGCAAAGGATACGATCAGAAAGCTCAGATTTATTTTTAGCCATTATGTTCTTAAAGAGGTTATTCTCAAAATAATAATACAGCTCAATGTTCTTCCCCACATTACCATTAAAACTGCCTGCTTTGTGGATCAGTATCTTAAATATAGACCCCCCATCCATAACTTTGTTTACTTTAAAACATCCACAAAATGGGTTTTGACTTTAATTCAGTTTTCTGCAAAAGCTCAGGAAGTGTCGTAGGGAAATTGTATGGACAATGTATATTCTTTCAAAACAAATAATTTTAAACTACTTTTTTATATACTATCATTTTGTGACCATCATGGCAAACAAAGCTATTATATAATATTGGATATACTGTATCTAATTCATATATACTGCAGCTATACAATATACTGTAAAATAGTATTGGATGAGATGTAAAGCAAATGTCTGTGGCCACTAAAAATCCCAGGGCATTTCTCAAAAAAAGAGTTGGGGTGTTATCCCAGTGTCCTGGCCAAATGTTACCTTGGCCTTTACCAATAATGCCCTCCTAATAATCCCCATCTATGAATTGGCTTCACTACTATGTTCTCCTCCCCACTGACATCTGATGTCTACTGGTGCATTTTGGCTGACATTGCGTGATCCAGCTGGGTGCTAGATGTTGGTGGTGGTGATGATGATGATGCAGGAACATGGTGAAGATACTTGAATACTTGGTTTAGTTTGATCCACAAAATGAAAAGTATTTTTCATCCCCCAGAGGTTAGTATGCATATGACTGAATGAGTTCAGATAATTATGTACAGATGAAGATCAGAAAGATTGTTTTTAGTAAGAAAACACTCTCCTTTAGGTTAATACTGAGAAGCATACTGTATTCCTAACTTGACACTCACCCCAAGAGAGGGTACAGTAATGATGCAAAACAGAATAAACAGTCAGGTCAGCTTTCAAAAATAGATGGTGCTTTATTATTGGAAATTGAATTTTTGTTATTATGGACCCTATGTGAGTGTGTACTTGAAAATGACTGTATCTCTGATCCAAGACACGTGATTAATGGCTTCTTATACTGGACTACCTGATTAGAATTCCAAATCATTTAACTCCACAATACAATTCATTGCTTAATACTGTATGTCATTGTTCAAGGGTGTCTGAGTATAGTCTGCAATGAATTCACCCAAACTTCAGGTAGATGGGAAATACGCAAAATATTCATTAGTTGTCATAGATTAAAACAGTTATTTTTCAGCCACTAACTGTGGCTGAAAAGCTGATCAACACATTTGTGTTCTCCTGAACTGACTACTGTAATGCTCTGCTCGCTGAGGTATCTAAATCTACATTGAACAAACTGCAGTAAGTCCAAAATTTGGCAGCCAGGATCCTGACCAGGTCTAGTGCAAGTGATCACAATACTCCTATCCTGGAGTCCTTGCACTGGCTTTTTGTCAAATTCCATGTGGACTTTAAAATCCTCATGCTCACCTATAAGGTTCTGCATGGTTTGACACTTCAGTACCTGTCTGAACTATTATCGCCCTACTTCCCACCTCGCAACCTCTTCTAATTCTGGTCTCCTAACTGTTCCCCAAGCCCTTAACATTCTATGAGTGACAGGGCCATCTCCTGCTATGCCCCCAATCTCTGGAACTCTCTTCCCAAGGATATCGGAGTCACCTCCTCTTAACTCCTTCAAATCCAGACTCATAAGAGCCTTTACTTAACTGGTTCCATTCTTTACCCCTCTGCTCCTACTATACTTAGAACCACCATCCATGGACTCCTCTGTGTATTGTAATTGTGTTTTATCTTGTGTATTTGTTTTATTTATTGTTGTTGTCATTCTGTAAAGCGCTTTGAGAAGCCACCTTTAAAGGCACTATATAAAATAAAAACGTTTTTTATTATTATAATTATTTCTGAATTGGTCATAAAAAATACCTCTCGATTACACAAGATCTTCTTTTAGGCAATTTGAATGTGCAGCATGGAGAAGTAATTAGGACTCTGGAATCCAGTCCAGATAGCTGTGAGTTCATATCCCAGGTAAGACACTGCCATTGTACCCTTAAGCAAGGTAATTCACTCAAATTACTCCAGTCAGTAACCTGCTGAATAAATGGCTCCCCAGGTCGTCATTATAAAAAAATAGTTCAGGTTGTGTTCTCTTTCTTCTTTTTTTCAGCATGGAATAAACCTATTACTTGTTCCATTATAAAAAAATAATTTGTATTCACTTGACATTGCTAAATAAAGAACTAGCCCATTATTACCAAAATAACCCTCCTGTTGATAAGAGAATGCCCTGTAAATCAGTAAATAGGAACCTGCAGGCGCTTCGAGGTATCACAGTTTTTAAAGTTCTTTTGAGATCTAATAATGCACCTGACCGAAGTGGGGGTGAAAGGCCCGCCTCACCAGTGATTTTCGTTTTGGGGCAGTTCCTTATTTTTCGCTTATTTTCCGGTGGAGGCGATTTTGTCATGGACGCGCGGCACTCTTGAGTGCTTGCACTGCAAATGTCCTATGTGTAGAAGCTCAATGGAAACAGTAATTATTTTCTCTGCGCTTATTTGTGCTACTAACATAGGAATAGAAGAAGTAAGATTGGATAAAGACAGTGGAACTTCGTACACTAAGGTTTACAGCCGTAAATATACGTAAAAATTAGTAATGTACTGTGATCATTGCAGATTCTATCAAGCCTACAACATCCAGTTCACTCTTCACTGCAGGAAGTGACGATTTTCACTGCGGAAGCTTTTACTCAACTTCCGGCACTGGCGCGGGAGTGTTAAATAATAAGTGTATTTGCAGTCAGGTTCTTTTTCTTAAAATTTGAAGTTAAAGAAGGAGTATTTTATCAAGTGTTTATAAAATGTCACAAAGCTTTACTGAAGCGGAAATCCCCCCTAATCTGTGTCATCTCAAAGTAAGTGAAGGAAACGTCAGTGCAACTCTTATTTAGGCACTGTATGATTAATGCTCCTTAGTGTAAGCAAAGTGCCTTAATATACGTTTATGCTATATATCCACAAAATTGATACCATGTGATGTCAAGAAGTAGTAGGTCATGAGACAACCGAAACTTACTGTTAAGTGTGCACCGTGAGAACAGATCCTTTGAACTTAGGTAATATTTTTTTAGGTAATAAAAGTTGCGATTATTTTCAAACTGCGGATTTTTCCTTTTTCAAGCATTTTGGATTGGCCTATCATTTGTAACCAAATACTACAGTTTATGTGCTCGTATTTACACAGCAGTCTTTTTGCCATCGCACCTTTTATTTCATTCAAGGAGCTGTGATGTTTCACTTTGTAAAATATTTACACTGTTGTGTGCGTCGTTCTTAAGAATGGAAAATAAATAGTAGTTTACTGTAGTGTAGATGAAATTACAGAGTACAGTAGTTGCTTGTAGAATAGCCAACTCAAGTTATGGACTCTCTTTGTTTTTAGAATCTAGATTCTTTGTTTAGATGTCCAATCTGCTTTGATTATCTGGACATTTCAATGATGGTTCAGCACTGTTCCCATAACTGTGAGTACACATTTCAGTTTGAGATTTGTAAAACATAAGTACATTATTTTTGTTTCCAAGCAAAACTTTAAACCAAAATGTTTATTTGGTCACGTTTTTTACTAAGTGCTTAAATAATTTCGATAGATTTTAAATGTTCCTTTTTAATTATATCAGAGAGCTCAAATCATGTAATTCTATAAAAAAAAATGTGCTTGAACATTTTAAGTATAGAAGCTGCCTCCTGCAATGGTGTTGTTATACTGTGCTGTAGTGTGGATTCATATTAAAAATATGTTTGTTGCTTTCAGTTTGCTCTTTATGTATACGGAAATTTCTGTCCTACAAACTGAAGTGTCCAGTATGTAATTCGGTAAGTAAAGTATTCTTGTTTTAAAACTTTCCTTATACGTGCAAATTACCATTGTTCCATAGCATATTTATGTAACAATGGCATTTTGCGTGGATTAGAAAACCTATACCTAAATGTTTTCTGAAATCATGTGGTTGTCACCAATGAACAGGCCTACATACAGTATTTTGGTAAGAAATATCTGATGTGGATGTTGAAGGAAGAATGAAATTTCATATCTGTAAGCAGTTTCTATACAACCAGAAGCTGACATTTCTAATTAGATTTAAATAGTTCTATTTCTTGCACTGTTTTTGGTCAGGGGGAAATACTGTATGGGAACAAGTAAATGTTGATTTCACGCTGAAAAGAGAAGAAAAGAAACAATGTTTTGTCTGTGGTGCTTTCTTTGGGTGTAAAGGTGCTGTATCTGAGTGCTTTAAATACTATTATGCTTGTATGTTATTTCAGTATCTGATCAACATCAATGGCATTTGACAAAGCAGAACCAAACTGATTATTTTATAATCCCCACTGATTTTGGAAGGTTAAGACTATCTTCTTATGGTTTCAAATATTTTGTCAGTTCAAGCATTTAAGCTAGAGAGAGAAAACAAAAAACATGACTTGAGTTTTATATACTGGGAGGCATTAAAAAGGCAACACGGTCTTGTTGCCAATATTTTTCCAAAAGTAAGGGGTTCAGTTTATCAGAAAGAGAATAATTCTGCACTATTAGTTAACCAAATGTGCAAAACCCATTTCAGTCATTTGTATCGTAGGCATGTATGCAAATGTAGATGTGATCACTATGATGTTCAGATGTTACTGCGTCTGCAACTGTGTGCACAAACATGGCTGAAACAAAATCCCATGGCTTCCACAGCCATGGTAGGGTAGAAAAGAAGAGGCCATTGGGATGCCGAGGGCAAGTATGTCAGCATTTAGGGGAAATAGACACTGGTGTGCTTCACACGAGTTTAACTTGTTACTGACGGTAACCAAGTGGCCATGAGTCACCACACCTGTTTGAGGTATATCCCATTGAGATATCTCGGAGGATGAAATAAATAGTCCTGCATCCTAACCTACTGCCCAGTCACCTGGATGTCTACATATCCAGACCAGCTCCCAGACAGAAAGATAGTGTCTTGAGAATGAAGGCATAAGAACCCATTGTACACATAGGGTTGCTGTTGAATAACCATCATAGGGCAACATGTCATGCTTGGGCAACTGAAACTGGCCCAAGGCAAATTCAAGTTCAAGTTAATTTGTCAGTCCAGCCATATACAAGTATACAGAGGATCTGGATATTGTTCTCTGGGTCTTCGGTGCAAATACAGACACTGGCAAGAAAATGCTATAGACAATGTAGACATAGACATTTCTGACAGGGTACGGTGCAATGTGCATAGTAAAATTGGAACAACGTTGTATTAAGTGGAGGGTCATGGGCCTTTCTGATGTAGCACAACAGTGGGCATAGGGCATAAAGCAAAGAAGTACCATCCGCATTGTTTCAAACGTGGGTGTATCTGAAGCTGGAGATGTGATGGTATGGACTGCAATTCAGTGTAATTCATATATAAGCGCTTTGAGTGGAGTGTCCAGAAAAGCGCTATATAAGTGTAAGCAATTATTATTATTATTATATATATATAATTACAACAGAAAGTATTTCTCACGGGTCTCCTTCTTAAGCACTCAGTTTAGACACAGATAGTGCTGTTTTATGGCTCTTTGACTGTGCAAAACAATAGTGGCAATGTTGTTGGCACATGCATTGCACCTTACTTTGGTCAAAATTATGCCCTACACATTTATGTGTGAGAATTCATTATCACATATTGCACACATTTGTCAGACTTTCCTGTCACAGCAAATTATGCTTAGGAGGTACCAACCAACCTATTCATCTGACCTGAACCCAATAGTGTATCTGTGATACATACTGTGTCATTAGGAACCTATTCTGTATGTCTGCTGAGCATACTCAACATAAACACCCTTGTAATGTTTTTCAGGTGTGAGCATTACTTGCAGTGAATAGGAGATATAGAACTAACTAAAATGGTCTCCTTTAATTTGATAATAGAGTTGAACTTGAATATGTCAAGGGTGCCTCAGGTTTATATGCAGTCCATTTTGACTGTGTAAGACATGGATCAGTCTGTGTTCTTTTTTTGGTATAATTTTACACTAACATCATTTGTTGCTTTTTAATGCTTCTCTATCTAGTATATTTATCCAATTTACTTTAGCATTACCTTAGAGATTTTTGTATTACCTAATCACAGAAGCATAATACATTTAAAGGTAGCTTGTTAAGATGTGTCTTGATGAGTCATTTGATACTGTAGCGGAGTTTCCCACAAGAATAAAATATTTGTTATGTATTATCAGGCATAAGGCTAGCCTTTTATAAAGGCTACTGATATAGGAACTGTTCAGATCTGTATTGAGGGTAATGATTTCTGTTCTTTACATTGTTTACATTGCTTACATTGTTACATAATCTTAACATTTGGACGTATTTCCTGTCGCACCAAACTTCCAAATCTCTCAGCTTTCTCTCTCACCTATTCATGACTTGAAATAATAATAATAATAATTGCTTACACTTATATAGCGCTTTTCTGGGCACTCCACTCAAAGCGCTTTGCAGTAATGAGGCTTCTCCTCCACCACCACCAATGTGCAGCATCCACCTGGATGATGCGACGGCAGCCATAGTGCGCCAGTACGCTCACCACACATCAGCTATCAGTGAGGAGGAGAGCAGATTAATGAAGCCAATTTATAGATGGGGATTATTAAAAGGCCATGATTGGTAAGGGCCAATGGGAAATTTGTCCAGGACGCTGGGGTTACAACCCTACTTTTTTCGAAAAACACCCTGGGATTTTTAATGACCACAGAGAGTCAGGACCTCGGTTTTACATTTCATCCAAAGGACATCACCTGTTTACAGTATAGTGTCCCCATCAGTATACTGGGGCATTAGGAAAAAATAGAAAACTGAATATAAATGACTAAATTGTTTCATGATTTTTTTTTCTTCCTTTATTCCAGGCAGTGACAGAATCAGACCTCAGAAACAATAGAATACTTGATGATCTGGTGAAGACCTTCCAGTTAGCAAGGTACCATATGCTTTTAGCAGTCATTGATAACATTTAAAAAAATCAACTTAAGCACATTTCTTCAGTTTTACCCTGTGTGTACCTCTTTTATAATTGTATTGTTACACGGAGTTTCTCAGTATTATTATATATTGATGAGGCACTGTGTGTTTTCACTGCTTATTTTGCAATGGCAGTTGCAAAATGTTTCCTTTATAGTACTACCTTACTCACAACATTCACTGTAAGTGGAGAAATCTCAGACAGAGAAGGAGTAATGGTCACTGACCAAATAAAAGAAAAAAGTTGCATTTCACGTCTAATGAAATTGACAAAAACAACATAAGCTCCCACTTTAGATGTATGTGATGTTTTAGAATTGGGCTGAAGGGGTCCTGTAATACTGTATTTAAAATTATAACAATCCTGATGGTAGTGAATCACTTTTGTGCACTGACTGGATATAAATTGAAAGTAGCATAACCCAAGAAAATGGAGTGCGTTATCTCTAATAATATGCAGTATTTTGAAAATAGTTATCTTACTCATCCTAAAAAATAGAAAACTGAATATAAATGACAAATAAATGATTTGTCCACTTACCAATATTTTACAACATTTTACTTCTTCAAAGCTTTATAAGAAGTTTTAAGGAAAAATGCAATTTTGCAGTATTACTGAAAGAATGAGGTACAAATAGTTGGAGATATAATTATCATGAATGAGTGAAGCAAAGAAGCCAAATGGGTGAATATTTGCTATTTCAAAAGGAAGTAATGAGAGAGACATCAGTCCAAGTGTGGGGAATGTAAGGGTAGCCGTGATTCAAATGTTTTTTTTCATCTCTGCTTAATTTTCATTTTATTCTAATTTGATAAAATATTAGGCATTGTGCTCTGGTTACCTCCCACAATAACATACTGGTAGGTAAACTGGCTTCTGGAAAAGTTGGCCCTAATGTATGTGTAAGTCTGTCTTGTGATGGACTGGCATCCCATCCAGGGTATAGGTTGTCTTGCACTCATTGCTTGCTGAGATAGGTTCTGGGTCCCCTGCAACCCTGGACTGGAAGAAGTGAAGAAGTGAGGTTAGAAAATGGATTCATTTAGAATCAAGGGGTGGCATAGTAGCACAGTGGTTAGCATTCCTCACCTCGCAGGGATGGGGCCCTGGGTTCAATTCTAGACCAGTGAGAATGTACAGACTATCTGCTTGGAGTTTGTATGTTCTCACTGTATTCACGTGGGTTTCCTCCCACAGTCCTAAAACATACTGATAGGTTAATTGCCTTCTGGGACAAAATGGCCCTGGTGTGAGTGTGTCTGTCAGCCCAGAGATAGACTGGCAGCCTTGTGCCCGTTGCTTGCCAGGACAGACTCCGGCTTCTCCATAAATTGGAAGAAGTGGTCAGAAAATGGATTGATTAAGTATTGCAGTGAGAACTCCACTTGCAAGGATTGAGAGGTGAACTCAGATCAGAACATATTGATGAGTAAAGCAAGAGCTGGTTTGCATCCATCATGCATTAGATCCAGTTCAAAGTAAATTGTGGATGGTTTCAACATTTGACAAGTGGAGTTGATGCGATGAGCCCATACCAGACACAGAGGAAATGGGATTGTACAAATTCCAAGGAACCTTTCACAGAAGACATCTGTAAGTATAGTTGAAGCCTAAGACTTGGTCCCACAGGGTTGTCTGAAAAAATAAAGGGCATTTCGGTGTAATATTATTAAGTTTTAGATAAAACATCTCCAAAGTCAAAGTTGAATTGTTGTATGTATTCAGTCATTTGGAAGGAGATGCATGAACAACAAGGTATTTTATTTAGCAAAAAGTTCCAGATTGGTAAGTGTGTTCTATTGGAACAAAGGTACTGTAACTCGTCCTAAACTGTTTAAACAATAATACAGCCTTCACTTTAATTCCCTGGCTATTTCTTTCTCCCTGGTGGAGCAACTTACAATAAACCGTTTCATTACTTCATCCACTGTAGAATATTCGATTTCCTGTGGCAATAAGATAGGGATTTAGGCTTCATAAAACTAAATTATATTGTTTTTTTGTTACTTATTTCTGTACTATTTAAGGAAATGAGAAATTTTAAGCATCTTATGTTTTAGAAAAGAGTAACCAAAGGCTGTGTGCAGGGATCTTGACATTTACTAAATAACTAAAGGCAAAATGAATATTTTAAAATAAAAGAATACAAGGGGGTGAGATTTGCAAGGACTTCATTTGGTCCATCTAACTTGTTTTGTTGCTACATAGGTAATTGTTCAAGAATCTCATTCTTTAATGAAAGATGCCAAGGTTTGGCCTCAACAGTATGAGGGGGTAGCTTGTTCCATATTCCCACAGTCCTTTGTACTGTATATGGTGGTGCTTTCTGTTCTCAATTGTATATTTGTACTTATAATTACACTTCTTTGTGTGTTATAGTTGCTGTTTCACTGTTGAGATTCTAAAGTCCATTTGGTTGACTTTGTCTGTATCTTTAAGGATTAGGAATACCTGAGTAGTTGCCCTCGTGTCTCCTCTTTTTAAGACCTAAAAGGTTCAGTGCAGGATGCTTGCCGCTACTGCACTGTTTGCTAAGCCTACTATTTAAATAGAGTCTTAAACCCTACCTTTTTTGCTAATTATACCAGAAACTAGATCTTGGTAGAAGAATCGTAGTCTTAATCGAGATTATTCTGGTGCTTTATTAATTCCATCTCTACAAGGGAGTGTTTGCCCCTTTATCCATGCTCTGTGTTTTTCTATTTATTGACAAGTTATCAGTCTAACTACATGCACTACCATGGGAATGAAGATATGAGAACATAAGTTTGCAAACAACATTAGGCCGTTAACCTAACGTTAGTCAGTGAGTCAAAAAATCTCATTTTCCGTTTTAAAAGAATTTCCTTTTAGTTTCCAGTTGCGATCCTCTGTCTTTGTTATAATGTTGAGTGTGCACTAGTCCTCTTGTTCGATCCTGTGTACAGTATATCCCTTAATGTTTTATTATTATCAAATATGGTTTGTTCTAGGCAGCAAAGATCCAGACGGGTAAAGAGACCAAATATTTCTGCAGTATGGAGTAGTGGTAACAATCTTCATTGCTGTGCTCTCCTCCCCACTGATAGCTGATGTGTGGTGAGCGTTCTGGTGCACTGTGGCTGCCGCTGCATCATCCAGGTGGATGCTGCACATTGGTGGTGGTGGAGAGGAGTTCCCATTACCTATAAAGCGCATTGAGTGGAGTGTCCAGAAAAGCGCTATATAAGTGTAAGCAATTATTATTATAGAGTCAAGACCAAAAGGTCTGACATTCAAATCTCTAAGGTGGTTGCAGCCCAGATATCACTGAGTAAGGTATTCCACTCAGGTGGTTGCAGTGAATGAGTAACTGAGTAACTGGGTACTTTGTAGATCATCCTGTAAATGAGAATTTGGTGTCAACTTACTCATATGGTTAAATGAAGGATTTAAAAAGTAACAATTTGAATCGTCCTTGTTCCTCTTTTCAAAACACTTCTCTAAAGCTGTAATAAACATTTTGTGGTATGGTGACCAATGAAGAACACAGTTCAGTTTGTGCAAATTCAAACTCTATGCCCATTCCTAGTCTCCAGAAACGTCTGGAATTAAATCTAAAACACTACACAGTTTAAGGGGGTATGGAATTCTAACCCCAGATCCACTTCAAAGCTACCAAATATGCCACTATTTAATTTTAAATACTTATAAGAAGGGATTGCTTTATACTGAAATCCAACAGAAGGCTTGCATATTAGATATTTTAGCCATATGAGATTCTAACCAATGAAGGGAAGTACCAGTGATCTCTATATAATTTTCTATGCTTTCCTGTGGGATTCTGTGATTGACAGTGTCAAAAGTTGCACTTCAGTCCAAAAGAAGAAAATTAACTAACCTTAACAGTGGCTGGCTTGGTAATATGAGTTTGTTTAAATCCTGACTGGAAAGGTTCAAAGAGCTCATTAGATGCAAGATGAGATTGTAATTGAGCTGCCAATGCCTCTCTCCGAATATTTGTAAGGAAAGGCAAATTGAAAATAGGACAGTATTTAAGTACTTGATGGTCCAGGTCATTTTTTTTAGCTGGCCAGATAGCTGCAGATTTAAATCCTGTAAGTACGAGAACATGGTTCAAGGACGCACTTATGAGGTTGACATCAAATGGGCAAAGGGGCAGCTTTGAGTCAGGGCAAAGGAATATGATCCAAAGCACAAATATTAAGTTTCAATTTAGCTACCAACACAGTTATAGGAGTAGCATCCACAGCAGTAATACGAGAGAAACTCTAACCTGCAAAAGCAGGAGAGGGCATAGTTGTCATGACAGCAGGAGGTGCAGTCAACAACTGGTTATTAATAGTATGTATTTTTGTTAGATGAACTGCATGAATGTGTTACGTTGTTTAAGAGAGGGAGGAAAATCGGACTTAACCTGGTGAAACATTTGGTAGCATTACTACCACTCAATCTGGCAGGCTTAAGGGCATCCTTATAGGTCTGTTCAAATCATTTGAACTGTTAAAGACCATTCATTTATCATGCAAAATGTATGAATTGAAAGTAATTTGAACAGTGCAATTCTTATATACCAATCAACACATTTTAATACAGTTGAGTCAAAAGTCATAACCATTTAACAAGGTTGTAGAAATGGATACTTTTAACCCATGTCATATCTAGGCCTGTATCAATATAACTGAGGATGCCTCAAGCTCTGTTTGAGTAAGCTTATTTTTAATCTCTGGGTTAAAAATATTTCTTCTAAATATTTTTTTTCCTGATAAATAACATTTTATTTTGATTACAACTATTAGATCACTTGTTTTGTTTTTATGCTCTATTGATAAAAGGAAAGTTCTGGCTTTCATTTAAAAAGGAAAAATGCTGGCTTTAGGCCAGCAGTGTGACCAGGCAACCAGTGCAGGTGGAATAAAATCCTGATTGCAGAGTAGTGGAGAATCAGCCATCAATGACGTCACCCAAAGTGTCAAGAA